AAGGCAGCATCGACAAGAGAAGCCGCCCCCCCGGACACAACACGCACCAAAACACAACCCCTCAACCCGGGCACAGCGCCCGAGCTGCTGAGCACCCCGCACAGCCCCCAGCACAGCCCCCGAGCTGTCCACCACACCACTCCACCCCCCGGCGCCACTCCGCCCCTCGGGACCGCCCCAAAACTGTCCATCACGCCGCTCCGCCCCCCGGCACCGCACTTTATATATATATATGTAAAAGTTTGACTCTCATCATGTTTACTAAACAGAAGCTTATGTTAGATCTGGAAGAAAATAATTGAGTTGTCTGACAGCAACAAGAGATGTTAGAGACACAAGTGAATTCCTCAGGAGAGAAAGAAATATCAAGGTAAATCAGCTTTATACCAGAAAATCTGATAGAAAAGAGTATAACAGCTGTAAAATAAGTAAACTCTTAACAAAAGAGTGAACCATTTTCAGTTTTAAGGGAAGTGGCCAAAGTACTCAAAGCAACTTGGTATGAGTTATTTATACTACAGAATAATTTCTGAGCTCCAAACAATGGTAGCTGTCCAAAATGTCCTCTAGAGAGAGCAGCAGAAATGCAAAATTCAAGTGCCATGAACAGGGTCAGGTGCAAGTCCAGAAACAATGTGGTTCTTCTGATATTTACATTTTGTAGGCATGCATTTACATATTTAGAAATAAATTTATAGTGGCCTACAATTTCTCTGGGAAGTTCTTGAGTTTAGATGTAGCTTCACCACTGGAAATCCTGGCCTCTCTGCAATCATCATCAGATTTTCCAAGATTTAATCAGTGTATGTCAACTTTAATACCTTTCTTGTCATGAAAGAATTTTACAATTTGTTAGAATATTTTCCAAGTATTGAAATCCACTTTTCCAAGGCCAGCTCTGTGTGGTGGCATCTGTGTGGCTGCCTTGTCTCTCTGCCTTTCCCATTGTTCTTCCTTCTTTCACAGACCTTTTCCTCAGAAAAAATCCAACTGTAAGCAAACTTTGTGAACTGCTGGTATCTTACTGTTTTTCTCCAAGAAAATACCACAAATTCAGTAGCAGTGATCTCAGTTCTTCACCTGAATTTCAAATTGTCAGCTGACTTTCTGATACCTTTTTTCTTTATATTTCTGTTGCCTGTAAATTTGGCCTCGGATCTTGCTATGTACAATTAACTCTGGTTTCTGACAAATCATCTTTCTGAACATGTGAGATTCAAAGAGAGAAAATGTTCAATTTTCATCTCCTTTTGTCCTGTTTAGCCTGGTCAGGTGCTGTTCCCACAATTCCAGGAGCAAACATGGAAGTCTTCCAAAATTAGGATCCCACCTTCCAGCTGCCTCTTACTGGGAAATTAATCAGATTTTTTTTCCCACTTGTTCCTGGCTGGACCAAGAAAGAGGCTCAAGTTTGAATTCTTCATTTTGGATACAAGAGTTACACACACTGTGAGCCCTGTCACAGACTGTTTTATCCCCAGAAATTATTTGGAAAAAACAAATACAACTACTTGCATTTAAAGAAAACATCAAGGGAAAAATCTGGAAATGTGGCTTTGTATTACTTAGAGACTAATATTTCTCAGTCAGATTCACTAAAAACTTGTTTAAATATTAGACATAATTCCTACAGTGGTAGAAGTGGATAAGGAACTTCAAAATCCCAGTTTAAACCTGCAAGAAGCTTTCTGTTAAGGAAAAATAGGGATAATATATTTGGAATATAAATGAATCATTGGGTGGTTTTCCCCCCCATAGAATGTGTACATCTTGTACATTATTCTGCAAATTACAGACCAAATATTGATTACAATTTGAAATAAAATACAAAATGCCATTTATGCCAAGTATCATAAACAACCTGATATCCTCTTATCTCTCAGAGTTTGTGAAGAATGGAGACAATAGCATTTCCTCACAGAAACTATAAAGAACTTAAAGAGTAGGATCAATATTGTAAGAGGAACTTCTACGTGTACATATCCAGCTGAATTCCCAGCAATATAAAAGGGAAATATTTGTGCTGAACTCCCTGCCTAGGGCTTTAAATTGCTGTATACTATCATGCATTACGGCCTGTATTAATTACCTAATTGAGACATTTATATGGTCATCAGGCAAGTGGGGACCTGGAGAGAAATCCCTAATTAAGACTTTGGAGTTTGATAAGAGGCTGCTACTGCGCGGTGATAAAACACTATTTTTGTCTTATCTTATGAATGTGTCAGGGCAGATTATGTTAAATGCTACCTACATGCATAATCAGATGACATATCTCTGGCAAGGCCTGCAGATAACAGTCTGCAAATGCACATTTATTATTTTACAGTTCAGGCTGTTAAAAGGAGAACAAAACTTGTAGACCCAGAAGTGCAGCCAGTCCACCTTGGCCGTGCCCGGCGTGTCACACCATGGGTGTTTCCCTTGGGATTTTGAGTTTTTGGGGTGTGAGAGGCAGAGCAGCTGGAAGCCAGCAGCTGGAAGCATTCCTGCTGGCTGTGTATTGCTGAGCTCTCCAGGCACTCCCCTCCTGCTCCCTGACACGCTGTGTATCCGAAGGTGGATCCCAGACATCGGAAATTCAATTACGCCCGAGGAATCCCTGTCCGAGTGTTCACTGCCTTCCCAAAGAGAGGGGAACAAACAGGGATCCAGGCAGGCAACACTCCACATCTCATCTCATTCAGAGTGCACTCCCTGTTTCTTGGCATTATGAGTTTGTTGTGAATGCTGAATTTGTAATGCAAAAACACCAGCAGTGAAGATTTTTTTTTCTTTTTTCTTGACAAGTTTTCTGGGAAAATCCAGAGCTGCTCTATTTTTTGCACACAGCCACCCCATCCTTCTTCTTGTCTGCAGGGTGGACTCAAACAACAGCATCCACTTTAGGATCTCTTTCCTTGCTAGGTGCTTTGAGGAGGATGGCCAGCTCCACCCCCAAAGCAAAACAGAAAATTCAGAGAACAAATCATACATGGTAGTTTTTTTTAAATATTTTTCCTCTTGCCATCATCCAACACTGCTGACATCAGTGGTAAATCTCCTGCCATAACTTTCACTGTTGGAGCCTTGCTCCAACAATGGAAGGAAATGTTTACAAGGTTTGTATAAATGCATATATTCGTATAAATAAATACATAATGTGTATATGCATTATACATCTATACATTTATACGTGCACACACACTAAATTTAACGCTGCAATTATAATTTGGGATTATTCAAAGCCTGCATTTTAAAACTTCCACAACCTTCTACCTGGATAATATCTTTTTTAATTTTCTGCTATTTACAGGCGTGCATAATTCAAACTGACAAGTGCTAGAGCTGTGGAAAAGAGGCAAGAAACAAGGACCAAAGGTCCTTGCTAAGTAGCAGGATGAAAGATGGCTTAGTGTAATTTTGCAGAAGGATTCAGTTTTGCAGATTTCCAAACAAGAAACGTGGATATTAATGGGGGTTTGCAAAGAGCAAACTCAATAACAGTCCCAGTCAATTAAAAGTACATAAAGTATTAATGTGTTATCCCCTGGTTTGTGTTTAAGGGGCTGTGGAGACTAATGTTTAAATCCCAGGAGAAAAAGCCCAATCCTGTGCTCAAACCCCGTATTTGGAGCTGTCATCCATTACCAAACATCACTTCATTAATATTCAAAAGATTTCTCCATGTTTCCCAAAACATGGATTAGGTTCAGGGATTTAGGAGAGCTGAGTTTAACCAGCCCCTGTATCCCAGAAGCTCAAAAACATCTCAGCTCTGTCCTCTCAGCTCAGTGTCTCCTTCTCCCTGTCAGGATAAATCCATCAGATTCCAAAGGACTGGATGCTGCTCGTGATGTGCTCCAGGTCCACAGCTCTGTCCCCTGGGAGCCTGGGAAAAATGGAAATTAATTATAAGCACAACCAAAGAATAAAAGCTGAACACACCTGGTTGAGGTGTAAGCCAGGAGCTTTCCCAGAGTGCTGGCCCACGCATGGCAAAAACCTGGCCACAACAACTGTATCTAATTCCCAGTTTAGAAGGAAAAGAAGAAAAAACAACCACTTGTGAAAACTTTATAACCCCTCTGCTTCTTGTTTAACCTGACCACTCTATGTTTAAATAGGTGATGGCATGAACACAACCCAACAAAGACTCTGGGGGTTTGATTGATGGAGTGGCCCAAAGTAAAACACTCATTCTGAAAAGCTGAAGAGAAATGCAAACTTTTAATAACATTTTCAAATTATTTAATCATACAAGCAGGCCTGACCTGGTTCAATATGAAACTTCATTACAGCCTGGAATGTTAATATGGAGTTCCAAAAGCATCATAAATTACTGGTTTCCTCAATGATGCATGGGCCTGTCCTGCTGTGGCCAGCTGCAATTTTAATATTTTCTTAAGAAATGAAGAATTAGCAAATAATGGCATGATCCTGAAATTGGCTAAAAAAGATAAAGACATTACTCATTTCCATAGATAAATGATGCAGCCAGTGTTTTTTTTTTTTATTTTTTTTTGGGGGGGGGAGGGATGGAAATCCTAAATGCTTATTTTTGAATAGATCCATTAATAATCAATTCAACTGACCTACCTTTCTGCAACATGACAGGCCTGACAGTCAATGAAGGAATTACAACGTGTAACTGGCAATTTCACCATCAGAAACATTATTTTGTATACAACTAGTACCTTGTAACAACTTAAAAACGGTATTCACTGTTTGAAAAGGGCAAAATAGAGCTACATGCAATAGTGACTGACAGAGATTCTTACCTGGTGCTCATTATTTAACAACAGAGCAAGGAAAGGGAGTGGATGATTTAAAAGGCTTGAAAAATCAGGAAAACTGAGAGGCCAGTGCACTTTTAGCTCAAAAATGCATTTTGTAAATGACCTGCAATGACTGTTTGTTTGGAATTTAGAAGGGAATGCTCAAATCTTGGTGGTTATCAAGAACAGTTCAGTCCCCCAATTTGATGGTTCTGTAGATTTCAATAGAACTGTATTAAAATACAATGCTCCTTGCTTAATTGCTTATCAAAGCATCATAAAAAAATTGTGATTGTGGGTCAGACTGGCCCAGGAAACTTTCCCTTTCATGTCTTAGCCCCACTGTGTTTGCTGGGGTCTGAGGCTCCCCGTGGTACAGGGTATTCCAAAGATAATCTGTCAGCACTGAAAAACAACAGCACAGACCTGGAAACAAAGCTAATCAAACATTCTGCAGCAATTAAAAAATAAAATTGCATTTTGTCGTATGATTTTCATATAATGAACAGCGTGGAAATGTGGAGATTCAAGCAGCTTGAGTGCTCAATTAATTCAAGTTCAATTATCATTATGACCAGCACTATGAACCTTCCCACCATCCCTTTTCCCCTACCTAAACCTCTGTTTGTAACCTCTGCTGCATTCTTTTAAATCTGTACCAGATTCACTCTAAAAGCATTTAAAGTAATAAAAAACACAAGACAGTTCAGGTTTTTTTTTCTGTGAAGCTCATCCAAGGCTTTACTTGCCAAGAGGCAGAAATACTGAGCAATATTGTGCAGAAATATATAATTTCCTCTACAATAACCTCGGTTTGCTTTATTTTTATTTTTTTTAAATTTCTTCTGGCCATGAGACAATGTCAAGAGTTTTCATGGGCAACCCATTGCCAAGAACTAATTGGTTGGAAAGCAGAGTAAGAAAAGAATTTCATTGTTTTCAGCCACAATATTAAACAACTACTTAGCAAAGGGCGAGAATAATGGAGAATAATTATTAACTGAAGAAAATATTCAGAACACATGGTAAAACAAATAATTAGGCCCAATTGTGCCAGTTCTGTGAATGTTTTACGCTGCCTGCAATGAACTCCCGTTTGAAAGCTCAGTTTTACACTGGGCAATGGTTCAAAACCCAGAGACACATCAGTCCCAGGCAGGAGCTCAGAGAGAAGTGCCAGACTGTAACTGACTGACAGCACTTCCCACTGCAATCTGGGCTTGTCTTCGAGAACTTCTATTCAGCTCTGCTTCAAATCAAACTTCATTTAACTGAGGGATTCTAGCGAGGTCGCAGAGCAAGCGAGGCTGCCTGCAGACACCAGCCATCCTTTAGTCTGTTGTACAGTCACACATGGGAGATTTGCAGAACAGAAATGCCAGATACCTTCTGTGGCAACAACCTCATCAGACAGAGCTGCCACAAAATCCAAAATGTTGAATTTGCAGCTACTAAGCCACGGCACAGTCTGTTTTGTAAAGTCCGCTACTCGACGCTGTGGCTGTGCACTCACATTTATCTTGGGGCAAAAATGTAACTGCAAGAACTAACAGAAGGGAAAATACAACTGGACAGTGCACTGGCAATTACAGAGCTGAGAATTAAAGCTACAGAGGGAAAAAAAAAGTGTTTTGGTGATGAAAGTCATCTCTAGAGTTACAATTATGATGAAATTTATTGCCCTTGCTTAATATCTATTTTATATTTATTCATTCTGATAAAAAATTATATCCTGGATCCAAAGCTTCAGCTGCCAAAGTTGCAGAATGAATGTTAATTAAATATTTGATATATAAAGTCTTTTAAAAAACCACCAAAATTACTCAGTTTACTTAAAATACAACCCAGCAAGATACAAAGTGTGGTATCAGATCCCATAATGAAGTCTTTCAGTTCCCTTAAACTCTCTGCATTTAATGTGAAATATAAAAGACAAACTTTTATATTTGTTTCCTTCTGGTATAAACAGACTGTGTAATGAGCTGCTGTTTGATAGGAACTGAATGTCACTCAGAAGGCAACACATCCCCAGCTCACTGGTGGCTTTGCCCCTCTTAATCTTCACCTTATATCTGAGATGTTCTTTCCCTTTTTCATGGATGCTCATTATGTATCTGTTACTCATTCTACTTTGCTGCATTGGAATAAGTATGGACTTGTAGATATGACATAATCTTCCAAAAACTACTAGAGGAGTGAATATTATTTGCTGAAAAGCCTCCTGCTCCTGAACAGCTTGTCAGTCTGCTCACTCCTCAGAGGTCTGTTTCCCCATTAGTGCACATTTCCCCAGCTGAAGATTTAAGTTGTTTTTTTTTTCACCACTGTCACAATAAAAAAGAGGAAAACGAAGCAGGTGGTGTCTTTCTAAAGTCCAAGTGTTTTTTAATGATCGTTCTCTATTTCTTCAAGTGCAGAAATTTCAATTCTGATTAAAATGAAAAACTGACAAGCCATTACAGACAGACCTCCATTCTCCAAAGGCTCCCCTCTGAATACACAATATGTTTTCCTATATAATGCATGCACCATATTTCAATATTAATTATAGGAAGGTCTCTATGGGGTCACATGCTAATTATATCTATTTAGAATTTATCATGCTATTTCCAATATAATGTGCTGTCATTGTATCCTGTTGTTTTTCCTTGCCTGAGGCAGGAGGAAGCTACAATAAACCTGAAAATAGTGGCAAGAAATGTTCATTTCAAAACATATGGGGTGAAAGCTGCACTAAGGGCCCTGCCCAGTGCTCACTGAAATCAGCAGGGACCATTATGTAAACCTCAAGGGAAAATGATGTGAACCTGTTAAATGGGTACAGTTCTATCTGAGGGGCTCTGTGCATCTCTCAGTGTAAGGAAATGGTTGTGCCACAGGCGGCTGTAAATAATCAGGGAGGCATCCAGCATCGTGCCAGGGAGGATGTGCACAGAGGAGTTTGAGCTGTCCTGATTCTGAAGGGGTTAGACTGGTACTAAATGGCCACGAGATGAAGAAGAATCAAAGCCTCTGTTCCAAATCATCTGGAGTGTGTTTGATAAGTTCATCTATAGCATTGTGTGATCACTGGGTCTGTGCAGGAGGCAGTGACACTGGGGGTTGTTAACTGAGCATTGTATTACAGTACTGGATTCAAATTTGCCACATTTTAAAAATTCTCCCTCTTTACAAGCCCTAAAGACTCCAGCACATTTGCTGATAAACACTTATTGTATTTATAATTTTCTTTTCTAATGACTGGAATAATTCCATCTGCATTTACCAACCCAAGGCATCTTCCCTGTGTGAGGAATTCCTCAGAGTTCCCTGCACAAATCCCAGCTACAGTTAAATGGTGCCTTCCTTATGACACCACCAGAACCAATTTTCCAGCCTTGCCACCTATGTACAATTATTAATGCTAGAGACTTGGCCCTGCTTTCAAGAAGTAGGTGCCTGCAGAATTAAACATAGATAATACCTGGAAAAAATCCAGGCACCAAAGATAAGGATCTTGTCCTAAATTATGCCTCTCTTGTTTCCTAGCCTTCTAAATTGTTAGTGCCACATTACCAGGCAGCAGTGACACAAATCAGACAGTCAGTGACTCAACAGGCAGGAGATTACCTCATCCAAGTTCCCACACATCCTTTCAACCCAATTACTGCCACTGGTGGTCCTTTTACCTTCTGTGCCTTTCTGTGGCTGCATGAAGACTTTTCCAAACACATCTCTCAGTATTCAGGTGCTGCCTGTAAGATACCAACTTGACAAATGACATTTACATATCTATATCACTCTGTGGTTATATTTTTTATTTTTAAGCCTATAATGAGATGTTTTCAGATGAAGAAAAACGTTAACATCCAACCCACAAACTGTATTTTTTTCTAATTGATAGGTCTCAGCACAGAGCAAACCGATATTTGAGAGGAGAAAATGAATTATCTG